TGTTTGAGGAAGAAGTGAGGCTTAAGAGGACTCATATGATTGCCGTTTATTAATCAATTGTTATGAAAACATTGACACCAATTGCGGTCAATCGTCAAAATTGAATATTTCTCAATCATAACAGTTACACAAATCCACACCAAATTCATACAATCTTACGCTAATAAACCTGTTTATAATGAACTCCTCAATTTCTATAATATATTAAACATCTATTTATGTTTGCTTTAAGAAAAGTTCAAAATTCAAACTCAAAANCAACTTATAAAACTTTTGTTTTAATTAAATAATCGTATGACAATACAATCATGTGATGATTTAATGATAGACATACCATTCTTACTAAATCTGGAAGTTATTAATTTTGAAATCACATTAAACAGATTTTAAAACTTTTTTATATTAACTTAATTCATTGCAAAACTCAAATTATACATTTTACAAAAATGACAATAAATTTTCTTTAAAAATAAATCATAGAAACAAATTATGTATATTTGGGAAAACATACGAATAAAGGAAATTGGGACCAAATCACAACTTTTGAGTACATTATTCAATATAATTCTATAGCTTTTGTGTGTAATTTGAATTTTTTATATTTTAATGTAAAGTTTCCATCTTATTATAGTATTGTTATATCAAATAAAAGGTGAGATTTAAAGCGCAAAATAAAATTTATAAAAATAGCCCCAAGCATAATGTAATGACAATTGAATGTGTCATGAATAGTAATTAATTAACTAATTATTAATTAGTAATTAATAATTAAGAAGTTATTAAAATTTAAATCAATGTATTTTAGATGAACTCATTTACAGTATTACATAACTCCAATAATTAATACCTTACGACACAATACATTATAGCTGCTGGAAATTATAAACATTATCTCATGTGAAAGCTTAGTCTGAAATACATTTATAACAAAATTATGACACAAAGATTGTTATTAATATGGGAAATGATATGTTTGTAATAAATATGACATAACTTGTGATTTGTTGACAATTGGGCGACAAATCATCATATGATTCATTGAGACTGAGATTACTCATTGCTATTGTTATATAATCTAAATATTTAAATAATCAATCATTTAAGACAAAGCTGTGTGGGATTTGTGATAAGATTTATTTTGCTGTCAATCATTAAAAAGTTTTTAATTTCAAAACTAATTTAATTATTTTAATAAAAATTACAGCACAGTCACTAAGTGATTTGCAATTTGGTTTTGCAATGAATTAAGTTAATATAAAAAAGTTTTAAAACCTGTTTAATTTGATTTCAAAATTAATAACTTCCAGATTTAGTAAGAATGGTATGTCTATCATTAAATCATCACATGATTATATTGTCATATGATTATTTAATTAAAACAAAAGTTTTATAAGTTGATAATGAAAACTCCAAAAATAGGTAAAAAAGAAAACTAGTGGTAAAAATAGATGAGTTCAGTCATATACTCGTAAATATATATATAGTTCCGTATACTTTCCCTTATTTAAGGTTATTTTATATTTGGGTTTTCAAGAATATCTTCTTTTTCATCTAAAATTATAGCAAATATGTTCAGGGTATTTTGGGAATTAATACTTTGGTCGATATACGCTTACTACTTGGATATCAGGAAAATGAAACTTTGTATTAATCATACCATAAGTAATATTACAGACAATGAAATGTATGACAAACCGGGAATTCCCGATAATGTCGCGTTTAATTATAACACTTAAATACATTAATCATTGACGATATTATCAGTGGTATATTGCACAGGTATAGTGCCATACCTGTACACTGTATACCGGTATAGATGATGACTTGAATATAGAGTATAAATAAGAGTTTAAAAATCGTACAAACCTGTAGGTCTGGCCGGACCGCTGGCATAAACAGCAATATCTGCGGCCACGACAATGGCATACCTGCCGTCCCACGAACTCGACTCAATCCAATCCCAGGCCCGAAACAGAGAGTCAGTGCCGCCATAGCAGGCATTAGTCGCGTGAATGCCCTCAATGTCAGTGTTGCCGCTCTCAGCGAACAAATCCATTAAAACAGTTTTAACACTTTTTGATTTATCGATTATAGTCTCGGTTCCGATCATCAAAAAGCCCACATCTTTGGGTGATATCGAGTGCTTATCCATTAATGATTTAGTGACAGTCAGACATATAGAGTTGATGTCCTCCCTGTCCGTGCAAAATGCCATTTGATGCTGACCTAAGCCTATTGTGTACTTTCCTTCTCCCACTCCATTAAACTTTTCGAGATCTGTCTGATCGACAAAAGTGTTGGGAAAGTATATATCAACGGCTAAAATGCCGATATTCTTGGGCCAGTGGTGGACGCCCTCCTGGACTGCCGATCCGTTTTGCAATGTATTGATAGGCATCGTTGGCTTCTATAACATAAATATAAAACTAATTATAATATGAAACAAGTTTAATACTTATTATACACTTTCATTACAATTGATAATAAAGTTGGGATTGAAATAAAAATGAGAAACAATAATGTTGTTTAGTCTAAAGTCAGAAAACAAGTGTTCAAAACATTTGATGATAATTTAGTTATGACTTTGTTTTGTGTTTTACTGACAGTGTTTGCTTCGTCTACTCTTAAATGCATTTTTAAAGACTAATTGCGAGTGAATTACGCATAAATACGCAACCATTCAGTCAATGCTGTTTGACTCCAATGGTATTGAATGATATTCTGGTGAATCAAAAATTTGGAGTTTTCCTTATGGGAGCCAATATATAGCGATAACTAATTTTCAACGGAAAAATCTCTCACTTATCTATAGTTTAAGCAAAAACTGGTAATACAGTACTTATTAACACTTAAACATATTATATGATCAGGTTTTAAGGTTTTGTTGTTTGTCTCGTTTGGCAATACATTCATTCATTTCAAGGACTCGTAATTAACTATTTGAGTATTTTTGTAATTTTCGTTTACGAGGAAATAAATTGAATTAATTATATAAGTTATAAGACTTCTTTGGCTTCACTCATGTCGTGCGACAACACCTCCTTCCAGTCTAGGTATCGGCATAACATGTGCCCATACCTTACCTCGAATACCTGTGCCCATACCTTACCTCTCATACCTGTGCCAATGCCTGTGCCAATGCCTGTGCCAATCAGTTTTTCAAAAAGGAGGAAGTTTTCTGTTAACGACAAACTGTGGCTAAAATATCACTGAATCTCATATAAACTCATTTTGAAGTCATGTTTGAGGAAGAAGTGAGGCTTAAGAGGACTCATATGATTGCCGTTTATTAATCAATTGTTATGAAAACATTGACACCAATTGCGGTCAATCGTCAAAATTGAATATTTCTCAATCATAACAGTTATTCAAATACACAAATCCACGAAATCCACACCAAATTCATACAATCTTACGCTAATAAACCTGTTTATAATGAACTCCTCAATTTCTATAATATATTAAACATCTATTTATGTTTGCTTTAAGAAAAGTTCAAAATTCAAACTCAAAAATAGAAATACCATATAAATTGCTAAAATAGGTTTCACATTGTTTTGAGATTCAAATTAAATTTTTATGCAAAATATTTAACTACAGAAAAGTTATATAATTGTATTTATACCGGTATTTAAGTTTTGAATCAATAAAAAATAGTTTTCCTGAATTACTTATTATTGAGATTACAATCGGAAAGAGTTACAAATCCTGTCTAATAGAGACACAGTATGCCACATGTTGCCGACCAAAATGTCCCGACAATTCATCAAATTTATATGTAAAACACCATTATTTACAAATTTGTAGACATGTCTTACCTGGCTGTCGAGGTTCGGTTGAAAATGTTTTAATGAGTTGCGAAAAAATTAAAAGTAACTACACTTCCGTTGGGGTAAAAATTGAATGGAAAAATTAAAATTTTAAAACTCCTGGAATAGGATGTATTAAATGTCATTCAATCACTTTAAACCAAAATTCAACTCAGATGCGAGTTTCAAATGTTTAAATGTGCGGAGAATTTATACAGAATTGGGTTAAAACTCACACTATTTTCTTCAAAATTATGAACTCTTCTGAGAGCGTCAATGGATTGGATTTGAATTATTAATTATTATACAAATGAATTAAATTCAGGACAATTTTACACAATTGATTGAATTTATATTTTTGGTAATCAATATGCTTTAAATTAACAAACTATTGAATGACTCAATAATTTAAATATTAAAGCAATTTTTATGAAATAGTGTACACTATCGAGACTTCACTTCAAAACAATGCAAAAATACGATAAAAACTATATTTATTAGATGCAAACACCAGCAAACACTTAAAATTCACTAAAAAATGTTTGTCATTTTAAATAATATAAAATTTAAAAACCTTTTTTAAACAAAAAAATATATAAAATATTACTTAAGAGTCAGAACCCAAAAGAAATAAAACACAAATAAAACGAAAAAATCCCAAAAATATGATAATTATTGTGAAGCGATGAGAGTTTCGTAAGAAAACTTTAAATGCAATTAAAAAGCAAATGAGAAAAAAGTGTATTTGATTTGGACTTAAGAAAAGACTCGAAGAAAACACTTACGAATAGTAATGAATAAAATGTGGATATATTGGGTGATTGGGTGCCAGTATTGCTGGGGATATCGGATCCAGTGGTGATTCCAGGAAGCAGTGGTGCAGTGGTGGAGATGTGTACGCCTGCGGCCAACTGCGAAAGTATAGCAATACTGGTTTGGCTGCCAATACTGGGCTGTCGTGTCAGTGCTGTCGGCGATACCAGTGCTCACTGACAGGACTGACTGCTCTCACGAGTCAGCAATACTGAGGCATACGTTGGCAGCAAATGTTGTCGCGGAAGCCCAACGGCGTTGTAGTGGTTGTAGTGGTGGTAGCGGTCGACAAAACTCTGGGCCACCGCTCACTCACATCACGTCACGCGTTATCTTACTATATGTGTCAATACAGACGAACAGGCCTTCACATTGGCTACCAGTCCTCACTTGGCTTAAGGTCAATGGCCAACACTCCCTATCCCAATACATCCATCACATGCACTACCACTGCCCTACCACTGCCATCCCAGTCCTGTCAACTCTGACACTATTCCCAAACTATACCCACAATCAGACCAATTGGCCATCACTTGTGTGCCAATCATAGGCCGCCCCGACAGCTCACACATTAGGTTCTCATTGCTTGTGTTGACCATTGACTCAATTGTCTTAATCCAAGGGATAGATCTTAAGATAGATATTTACAGTGAGTTGTGGTCTCTTGTGGTGGTCTATCATCACAACCATCGCTGACCATAAGAGTGTCCCAAAAATGTGTGCCAAAGAGCGCTCGTCCGGCGATTCAGTTCTCACTTCCCTATGAATTGTCAACACATTTGCAGTCAATAAACAAGACATTCAACAAAACTATCACTCATTTGTCATACCGTTAGCGATGAGCGCAAAGTCGTCCCAATTTGTCCCAAAACACACACAAAAGCAATAAATACTTTGCACTGAATTACATGTAAACCTCACACACGATTAGTAAAACCGATTGAAAAAACTTATGAAAACATTGAATGCATTTTCAGAAACAAATTCAAAAACATCTGTACGTTATGTCAACAAAACACACGTCAAGTCACAGACACCTCATCCACACGTCATTGATGGACGAAAGGCATTGCCGTTCACTGCATGCATGCATTGAACGCACGCCTTATTAGTCGACAAAAAACTTCATTTCATTCATTGAATTGAATCGCGATTTGAGTCCAGTTTTCAATTGAATTGATTTGATTTGATTGACACCAACGATGGCACTGTCAGTACCGAAAGCCCCGGGATTCAGTTCAATGCTGAAGGAGGGCACCCGACACTTCGCGGGGCTCGAGGAGGCCGTCATCCGCAACATCGAGGCCTGCAGTGAACTGTCCACCACTTTGAAGACGGCTTACGGACCCAAAGGACTCAACAAAATGATTATCAATCACTTGGAGAAGCTGTTCGTGACGTCGGACGCGGCGACAATCATGAGGGAAATGGATGTCCAGCACCCGACCGCCAAAATGATCATTCAGGCCTCGCAGATGATGGAGCACGAGGTCCTCTTTGTCTCCATTTTGACCATTGATTCGCTGATATCTGTCTTGTTTTGACGGTATTTTAATTGAATGTGTTTTGTATGTACTGTACGACAGGTGGGCGACGGAACCAATTTCGTGATCCTATTCGCCGGTTCTCTACTGGAAAACGCCGAAGAGCTCATCCGAATGGGTCTTAAGCCCACGGAAATCATCGATGGATACGAAATGGCGATCAATAAAGTGTTGGATGAGATTCTGCCCGAACTCACAGTCCATGAGGTGAAGGATATCAGGGATTTGAAAGAAGTGACGAAAGCCATCCGCTCTTCAGTTATGAGCAAACAGTACGGAAACGAAGATTTCTTGTCGGAACTGATCGGAAAGGCGTGTATAGCAGTGATCGGCAATAATAATGCCTTTAATGTGGACAACATTAGGATCTGTAAGATATTGGGCTCAGGAATCGGAGGGTCGCAAGTGGTCCAGGGAATGGTGTTTAAGAAATTGGTATTTAAAGCATTTTCGACTAATTGTCTGGCAATTGGTATTAATATGAATGTCTGTCTGTGTTGAGGTTGAGGGCGATATAACAGTGGCAGACAATGCCAATGTCGTGGTCTACACGTGTCCGGTGGACACACAGGCAACCGAAACGAAGGGAACGGTTCTCATTAAATCGGCCGAAGAGTTGAAGGATTTCAGTCGCGGCGAAGAGAATCTATTGGAGACACAGATTAAAGCGATCGCCGAATCGGGCGCTAAAGTGATTGTTTCCGGCGGAAAGTTCGGCGATTTGGCCCTTCATTACTGCAATAAATATAATTTATTAGCCGTTCGTCTGATGTCTAAGTTTGATATCCGACTGTCGGATATCAAACTTAGACATCAGACGAACGGCTAATAAATTATATTTATTGCAGTAATGAAGGGCCAAATCGCCGAACTTTCCGCCGGAAACAATCACTTTAGCGCCCGATTCGGCGATCGCTTTGATCTGTGTCTCCAATAGATTCTCTTCGCCGCGACTGAAATCCTTCAACTCTTCGGCCGATTTAATGAGAACCGTTCCCTTCGTTTCGGTCGCCTGTGTGTCCACCGGACACGTGTAGACCACAACATTGGCATTGTCTGCCACTGTTATATCGCCCTCAACCTCAACACAGACAGACATTCATATTAATATCAATTGCCAGACAATTAGTCGAAAATGCTTTAAATACCAATTTCTTAAACACCATTCCCTGGACCACTTGTGACCCTCCGATTCCTGAGCCCAATATCTTACAGATCCTAATGTTGTCCACATTAAAGGCATTATTATTGCCGATCACTGCTATACACGCCTTCCCGATCAGTTCCGACAAGAAATCTTCGTTTCCGTACTGTTTGCTCATAACTGAAGAGCGGATGGCTTTCGTCACTTCTTTCAAATCCCTGACATCCTTCACCTCATGGACTGTGAGTTCGGGCAGAATCTCATCCAACACTTTGTTGATCGCCATTTCGTATCCATCAATGATTTCCGTGGGCTTAAGACCCATTCGGATGAGCTCTTCGGCGTTTTCCAGTAGAGAACCGGCGAATAGGATCACGAAATTGGTTCCGTCGCCCACCTGTCGTACAGTACATACAAAACACATTCAATTAAAATACCGTCAAAACAACACAGATATCAGCGAATCAATGGTCAAAATGGAGACAAAGAGGACCTCGTGCTCCATCATCTGCGAGGCCTGAATGATCATTTTGGCGGTCGGGTGTTGGACATCCATTTCCCTCATGATTGTCGCCGCGTCCGACGTCACGAACAGCTTCTCCAAGTGATTGATAATCATTTTGTTGAGTCCTTTGGGTCCGTAAGCGGTCTTCAAAGTGGTGGACAGTTCACTGCAGGCCTCGATGTTGCGGATGACGGCCTCCTCGAGGCCCGCGAAGTGTCGGGTGCCCTCCTTCAGCATTGAACTGAATCCCGGGGCTTTCGGTACTGACAGTGCCATCGTTGGTGTCAATCAAATCAAATCAATTCAATTGAAAACTGGACTCAAATCGCGATTCAATTCAATGAATGAAATCAAGTTTTTTTGTCGACTAATAAGGCGTGCGTTCAGTGCATGCATGCAGTGAACGGCAATGCCTTTCGTCCATCAATGACGTGTGAATGAGGTGTCTGTGACTTGACGTGTGTTTTGTTGACATAACGTACAGATGTTTTTGAATTTGTTTCTCAAAATGCATTCAATGTTTTCATAAGTTTTTCAATCGGTTTTACTAATCGTGTGTTAGGTTTACATGTAATTCAGTGCTAAGTATTCATTGCTTGCAGTGTGTGTTTTGGGACAAATTGGGACCACTTTGCGCTCATCGCTAACGGTATGCCAAATGAGGGATTGTTTTGTTGAATGTCTTGTTTATTGACTGCAAATGTGTTGACAATTCATAGGGAAGTGAGAACTGAATCGCCGGACGAGCGCTCTTTGGCAAACATTTTTGGGACACTCTTATGGTCAGCGATGGTTGTGATGATAGACCACCACAAGAGACCACAACTCACTGTAAATATCTATCTTAAGATCTATCGCTTGGATTAAGACAATTGAATCAATGGTCAACACAAGCAATGAGAACCTAATGTGTGAGCTGTCGGTGCGGCCTATGATTGGCACACAAGTGATGGCCAATTGGTCTGATTGTGGGTATAGTTTGGGAATAGTGTCAGAGTTGACAGGACTGGGAGGGCAGTGGTAGGGCAGTGGTAGGGCAGTGGTAGGGCAGTGGTAGGGCAGTGGTAGGGCAGTGGTAGGGCAGTGGTAGTGCATGTGATGGATGTATTGGGATAGGGAGTGTTGGCCATTGACCTTAAGCCAAGTGAGGACTGGTAGCCAATGTGAAGGCCTGTTCGTCTGTATTGACACATATAGTAAGATAACGCGTGACGTGATGTGAGTGAGCGGTGGCCCAGAGTTTGGTCGACCGCTACCACCACTACAACCACTACAACGCCGTTGGGCTTCCGCGACAACATTTGCTGCCAACGTATGCCTCAGTATTGCTGACTCGTGAGAGCAGTCAGTCCTGTCAGTGAACACTGGTATCGCCGACAGCACTGACACGACAGCCCAGTATTGGCAGCCAAACCAGTATTGCTATACTTTCGCAGTTGGCCGCAGGCGTACACATCGCCACCACTGCACCACTGCTTCCTGGAATCACCACTGGATCCGATATCCCCTGCAATACTGGCACCCAATCACCCAATATATCCACATTTTATTCATTACTATTCGTAAGTGTTTTCTTCGAGTCTTTTCTTAAGTCCATATCAAATACACTTTTTTCTCATTTGCTTTTTAATTGCATTTAAACTTTTCTTACGAAACTCTCATCGCTTCACAATAATTATCATATTTTTGGGATTTTTTCGTTTTATTTGTGTTATTTCTTTTGGGTTCTGACTCTTAAGTAATATTTTATATATTTTTTTCTTTTAAAAAGGTTTCAATTTTATATTATTTAAAATGACAAACATTTTTTAGTGAATATTAAGTGTTTGCTGGTGTTTGCGTCTAATAAATATAGTTTTTATCGTATTTTTGCATTGTTTTCAAGTTTTGTCTCGATAGTGTACACTATTTCATAAAAATTGCTTTAATATTTGTAAGCATATTGATTACCAAAAATATAAATTCAATCAATTGTGTAAAATTTTCCTGAATTTAATTCATTTGTATAATAATTAATAATTCAAATCCAATCCATTGACGCTCTCAGAAGAGTTCATAATTTTGAAGAAAATAGTGTGAGTTTTAACCCAATTCTGTATAAATTCTCCGCA